GTCTAGAATTGAATATTAGATGTAAAGGTGTGCAGTATGTGTTAGCATGTAAGGCTTGTGCAGGGGGGCTTTTCCATCTCTGCATGAATACTGGGAATTTTGTATCTATCATTTACCATCTTCTAAATGCAATTACTGTGTTTTGAGTATTTGTGCTAACATGTTTGTTTGTTATTGGGTGAACCTCTTTAGTAGTTAATGATTGAAGGTTCAGTAAATGATTGGACATTATAATTAATTTAAGTATGTTAGTTCATGTTTTAAAATTGTAATAGCTTCGAGATTGGTGTTTTAGGCTCAGCTTATGTTAGAGAGAGACATTTCTAGAAACCATAAATGCTATATGAAAGAATAACCACATGGTTTATGTATATGTTGTGTCTATTGCAATGGCTTTTACAAAGGAACAATATTGTTTATTAAGTGATGTGAATTATACAATTATTCTCTCTGTCAGCTATGTAATTATGCTCACCATGCACATGTTTTAGCTAATGATTCTTTGTTTCTTGTCAAGTATCTAACTGATTTTTTCAGCATCTTCTTTGTTTGAACTATTAAGTTAGGTAATCTAAAGCCCAGACTCAATAGCTCAAAACATTGTTCTACATTTAAGCTCGATTTCATCTCATGTCTCTCATTCAGCTTTAGAAAAAATTTGTCTTTAAACTTGCAATCATATAGCAACCAAAAATAAATAAATAAATAAATAAAATTTGTGAACATTTCTTTGTGGGGAAATTTTTTGCATCACCTGATGTAAGGCTTGCTTGTACTTGTTTGGATTAGTCCATGTTTTATATGCTGCAGTTTAGGGTTTTAATTTTTTTTTTTTTTCTTTGATGGGGTTTGATTTGATTACTCTTACTTAATCATGTTATGCATGGAAGCTGTCAGGAAGATTGATTTCCATTGTCAGTGAAGAGGGCCCATTTTAGATTATTGGCCATGAAGAGAGGATACCAAGAATCTTCTTCGTCGGGTTCTCTTAGACCGCCTCAATCCAAAATCAGACACAACCCAGAAGGTATTTTGTGGTTTTTGTGCTGTTGTTTTGGATACTGTGAGTTTTTGTGCTGTTGTTGTATAAAAAAATCCTAGATGTCCAACTGGAACTGAGATTGAAGAATCTACTGTAATTTATAGGTTTTTGACGATGGGTTGTGGAAATTTTGAATTTTTTATTTGGGTATCATATTGTCTCTGTTCTGGTTTTCTACTAGATTTACTCCTGCAGACTAGCATCTTATAGATTGTGGATCACCCTGCAAAAATTATACTTTTAAATACAAAATGAAGGAATTTAAAAAATATATATTTAATTATGTTATTACATTTTTTTGATGAGTCTATTTGGTTTCAAAAGATTTAGTAACTTTTTATTTTCAGTTGCCCCCAATAAACTCAACTCATATATTATTTTATTTTCAGAATTTCAATAGTTGGGATTTCACACTTTGAAGAATGGCTCTGTCTCTCTGAATTTATATTGTGTTTAACTACATAGCATTTTATAGTATGAAGGCACCTGGTTGAGTTTGATATATGTTTTTGCAGATTTTGTTGAGGGAATAGTTGATATGATCGAGCGGTTGATGTTGGGAGCCAAAGATTATGTTGCACTTTTTTTTTTTTTTTTTTAAGACTTGAATTTTTTAGTACAGTGTATTTAAGGATGGTTAATGGATAATGTCTATTATAAATTTAATTAATTTGTTAATTTTGTTATTTTTCATTAACAAAAAATTGTTTGGTGCTTGGAATTAATTTTTTTGTTGTAGCAAACCCATATATGATTTTTTTTTAAGAAATAATTATTTGCGACAGTAAAACAATGGTCGCTAAAAGTTTTTTTTATTTTTTTAAAATTTTTTTGCGACGGCAAAATAGCTGTCGCAAAAAGTAGTCTAGGTGGTCGCAAATAATTTGCGACCGTCACTTTGCCGTCGCAAAAAGTATTTGCCACCCCCACATTTGCGTCCCCCATTTGCGGTTGCATAGGCCGTCGCAAAAAGTCTTTTGCGACTGTATTTTTATTATTTGCGACGGCTTGTGGCGGTCGCAAAAAGTGTTTTTTTTAGTAGTGTAATAGGCTCGGCTATCTAAGATGGCATATGAGTGCAACACTCAATAACATGCTTTAAAACACGTATTCAAGTAAGTATTGAAATTCAATGCAGTTTGAATGATGCGCCGAGCCTGGTGCATGCAATACGAATGAATGATGCACGCATGCAAAACATAAGTATGCTAATTGAAATATGTCCTAAAACTAACCACCAAAAACTGATAAGTAAAAGGGAGAAAGACGTGAGGTTAGAAGACATGCATCACACACACGCACACTTATTATAATATTGTGCCCTCTCGACGGAGGGTCCGAATAAATCAACTAACTAACTAACTACGCTAAGCTAATTAATTACAAACCGAAACTAATTAATCAAATTAATTAAGTTACAAAACCAACTAAGTATGAAAAGCATCTAAGTTAGGCTGCCACAGCTCTGCCTCGGAATAATGAATGATGCATGCTCAGTCGGCTTCGCTCGAGAATCCATTACCATGCCTAGAATTGTCTCTGTTTGCATTTGATCTCAGAACATTGCACAAACCTCCAGAATGCTTCTGCTCCAACATGGGGACCTCCTGGTGGGCTGCCGACCAGAAAAGGATGGTGTAGACCACCTGTAGACCAGAAAAACTGGTTGCAGACCAGAAAAAGTGGTCGGCCGACCACTTTTACTGGTCTGCCAACCAGAAAATCCTGCCAGACTCCAGTTTTGCTGCAACAGAGAATAAAAAGGGCATGGCAGTGTGTTTGCAAGATATGTGTACACAACCACTCTCCCTATCATTTCTCAAGCTCAAGGGAGTACGGTACTCGACTCTCAGGCCACCAACTGTGCATCGCAATGCACGATGGCCGAGAAGCCAAATTTGCACAATTCAATGTCAATGAATGCATCATGCTCGATCAAGAGGGTCGGCAACCGAGAAATGAGGCGCGTTTCATCACTTCAAGTATGAAACACCCTTCATTTCTCGTGTTTGGATTAACATCCAATCCAAACACAATGCAATACAACAACACTCCAAACACTTGTAGACGCGCTCTCGGGAACTCCCTGACATCCGCGTGTGCGATGAGGCGGCACAGATCTCGTTTTGTTCTCTGAGCTACTACAGTTCGGACTCAAATGTCACGGTTCTGAATCTAATCTTACAATGTGCGATGCAAGACCGATAAATCACCAAAGAGTCCAAATCTGGCAAATCGTTTTGGAAAATTGATTTTTATAAAAAATTACCAAACATGGACTACTTTGCCAGATACAGAGTCGTCACCTGAATATTTTATTTTGGGAGAATTTAGGAAACCTTGACTCGTGCCTAAGGCCACGTGTCCGTCATCACCAAAGTTGCCTCGGCTCGGGAACTTGGGTACGATTGGCGAAGGTCATATAATGAGCACCCCCGCTCGCCCGATCAAAGATCGGCCTGTACTAAGCATGATATTTTGTTTTTAAATACACATGTGCTCTTATTCCGGTTAATTATCTAATCTTACTACGTGATGCACACAGCATACAAAGAATTTTAATGAATTGTCCCAATTCAAGTAATCCAACCTTCATCCACAAGCATTCAGGCAGTTAATCAACTAAGCAGTTAGCCTCATGGCAAGCATGCTTTCATGGCAATCAATAACACACATGCAGTATGCTAAAGCATAAACACTCACAGTGTACTCCGAGCCAAAACAGAGAATTAGTTAGAAATCATGCATGATCCTAGTTCATGTTAAGATGGCAAATGCAACACATGCGACAATGCAACTAAAATAGGCTCGGTTATCTAGAATGTCATGTGAAATGCAACTTAGTATATGTATTTAAATAGGAATTGAAATACAATGCAGTTAGTATGATGCGCCGAGTCCGGTGCATGCAATACAGATGAATGGATGTACGCATGCAAGCATAAGGTATGCTAATTGAAACATGCCTTAAAACTAACCACCGTAAGCAGTTAAGTAAAAGGGAGAAAGAAATAGGGATTGAAAAACATGCATCACACACACGCACGCTTATTATAACAATGTGCCCTCTCAAGGGAGGGACCGAATAAGAAGCTTATTAGCTAATCTAAGCTAATTAAATTAATTATTACAAAACAAATTGAAATAGCTAAACGCATTAACTATTAAAGTACAAAACGAATGCTTAATCTAGCTAAATAAAGAAGCTAAATAAAGCAGTAAACAGAGGTGCCCTCAAACGGAAGAAAGCATGCATGTTCGGTCGCGTCGCTCGGAAATCCGTCGCGATGCCCCAATTTGCCTTTATTTGCAATTGTTTCCAGAATACTGCACAAAGCTCCAGAAAGCTGAAACTCTATCATGGGAACCTGTAGGAGTGCTGCCGACCAGTTGTTGAGGAAAGAGACCACCTGCTGACCACTTTCTGTGTTGAAACCAGAAAAAGTGGTCGGCCAGCTAGTAATACTGGTCGGCCGACCAGTTGTTGCTGTTGAATTCCAATTTGCTGTAACAAAGAGCAAGAAAGGGCATGACAATGTATTTGCAAGATATGTGTGCACAACCACCCTCCCTATCATTTCATAAGCTCAAGGGAGTGTGGTCCTTAACCCTCAGGCCACCAATCGCGCATTTCAATGCCTGATGGCCGAGAGGCGAAGTTGCACAATTCAATATGAAAATGAATGCACAAGTAAACATATAAGGCCTAGAACTCTATCATGTAGGATCAAGAGCATCGGCGACCGAGAATTAAGGCACGTTTCATCACTTCAAGTATGAAATGTCCCTCGTTTCTCGTGTTTGGACTAACACCTATTCCAAACACAATGCAACACATAACATGGCATACACAATGCGACTCGAGCATGCGAACATGCAATATGACTAGAGCATGCAAACATGCAATGCAATGAAACAAGCATATGAACAACATGCGAGGGACAAGCATGCAAACATGCAAGGCAACATGAACAACTGAACAAGGCTAATGGCATGCAAACAATGCTAATGCATGCATGCACAATGCAATGCTACAAGGGCAACTTAGCAATGTTAGGAACATGCATACTCAATGCAAAGAAACAACTTGGCATACACAATGCAAATAATCACATGGCATGCACAATGCAATATAAGATGGCATACTTAATGCAATGAATAATAAGCATGCAAACAACATATAAACAAGAATGCTAAATGGACTTAAACTAAAAAGGGGTAGACCTTAGTCATGCCCAAACCAGTGGCTATAATGATGAAAAAAAGGCACAAAAAGGAAAGACATACATGCACAATGCATTGGCCAACCAACTAGGCCTAAGAGCACACCTCTCAAGAGGGCTCAAGGAGTGATAAATGCAGAAGTGTAATAACACTAAATGCACTGAAATAGAGTAAGAAATGATGCTAAATCATTCAGTCAAAGACAAGTATAGCATGCAAAGGTCTTACAGCATGAGAACTAATAAAGAGGACTACAAATGAGGCATGCAATACATGGCAAATATGCATGGACTAAGCATGGACAGAGCTCAAGTAGGTTAAAACAAAGACCTAAACATGCTGAGATGAGGGCTCAAAGACCTAGGCATGCAAGTATACAAGGTAAGCCATAAACTAGGCAACAATGCACAACACTCAAAGACACTTAAAGAGTGAATGAAGTGGGAACATGGTAGTCCTAGATGCTCTGAAATGTCATGTTAGATGATGCCAAATCATGTACACATCACAAAATGAAGCATGCTATGGTACCCAAAGCTTGAAGCTAGCATAGGCATTTGTACTACAACTATGCAAAACATGAAGCATATGGTCGAGGCACCCCAAAACAGTCCTAGAACATGTCAAAATGATACTAAAACATGCATGGAAGGAAGTCAAAACAAGCTAACATGAAGGGCATAAGGCATGATGAATGAAAGGCAAATAAGGTGGATTACACTACACCTATTAAGACGAAGTAGGGGATGACTTAACCAGAAAAATTCGGAGTTATATCATGGCAAAATAACCCCAAAAACACATTGAAATGATGGCTCGCAAGCTAAGGCATGAAGGCATACGCAATGACTCATGTTAAGGTATAAAGGGGCAAACCCTCCAACACATTGAATGAGTGATAAATGGAAGTGCATGACCATGAAACATGGACTGAAATCACATAATAAATGATGCCAAATCATTCAAATAGTCTAAGTAAAGCATGCTAATGGACTTGATGCACAAAGCTAACAAGCTAGAATGCACTATAGCCATACAAAGCAAGTCATGCATGGCCAAAACAACCAAAATCAGAGCTAAAGCATGTTAAAACATGGACAAAAGCTTCATGAAGTTAAGCCAAAAGTATGCTAGAATGACATGTTAAAGCATGATGTATGTTAGGCTATTTCATGGAATTGCACTACAAGTGCATGGAGCGTGCAAGGGCCAACCAAACCAAACCAAACCAAACCAAAACAGAGTCATGACATGGAAAAACATCACCAAAAACATGCTGAAATGGAAACAAAACAACCTAGAATGACATGCTACTTCATGAAGCATACAAGACTAGTTTGTGTGATTTACACTACAAATGTATTAGGCATGCATGGAGTGACTAAATAAAGTAAAAATAGATCTAAGGCATGCTGAAATAGCCCCAAATACATGCTAAGAACAAGCTAACACAAGCTTAGTA